GAGAGAGAGAGAGAGAGAGAGAGAGAGAGAGAGAGAGAGAGAATCTCCGTTTCTGAATCTGGCTCGGAAATGCATCCAGATTCAGACAACATGATCCAGAACCGTGACAAGGTCAACTGGGCCAAAGTGCACACCGCCCGTCACACCATGGGAATTTCTTTTGCCCGAAATCGTCTCTATGATAAACCAATGACTTTGATACGTTACGCACGTCAAGTGCGCAGCATGTTTTTCGCATCGTTGATCATAGAGACTATCACGGTAGAATCAGTGACTGAGGTGAAGTCGTAACAAGGTAGCCGTAGGGGAACCTGCGGCTGGATTGACTCCTTTCCAATATACATACCCAGATTTGATTTAATGTCGATCTAATCAGACTAGTTACCAAAGGCGCGAAGCACAATTCCGAGTATCCGGGTACTATTATTCTTTATTGTGGTTTATCTTCATATTTTTCGTGGTCTTTATTATGGGAGTTATGCCAGTCCACGAGAATTAGTGTGGTGTCTTGGAGTGGTCATTTTATTATTAATGATTGTAACAGCTTTTATTGGGTATGTGTTGCCATGGGGACAAATGAGTTTTTGGGGAGCTACTGTAATTACAAGTTTAGCTAGTGCAATACCTGTTGTAGGAGTGGGCAGGAGGCTGTAGGCCTGCGTCGGCGCAGTTTCAGATTCAAATTTCATGGCCGTTTCAGATTCGAATTTCAGGGACCTGCAGTCCGCACGCCATTTCATATTTTTTTAGGACCACGGCCACCTACCGTTCCTTAACATAATGCCGGGTTCCCAGGAAAATGCCACGGGCAGCTACCAGTCCTGTGTTTGCTTGAACTGTCCCCCCCCCTAAATGCCCGTGCCTTTCATTTTACCAGCCTTTCAACGACCAATGGGCCCGAATGAATGACCGGCATAAGCAAAGACGACGAAATTGCCTCAGGGGGAAAAAATGCAACCCTGACGGGCTGTGAACTTGATTCCCAGCGCCCCCCCACCTAGCTGTTACACGCCCAGCCGGGCGATGTGGATACATAGCCAAGGATCCGCAATGTGATGAAAAGGACTGAATGGACAATGCAGTGCTAGTAGAATCTCAACAAGCAATGCACATCCTGATACATACAAAATGGCACCTTGTAGTGCAGCGGAAGACTTAGATATAAGCCCTGACCTGACCGGGGCTGACATAGTACAAGACAGCGCAGCAGAATGCTAGAATACCAATGACTAGCTCAATCAATGTCGCGATGTAGACCAAACATACATCATCCTCATCACAAGGTGTGAAGGGGCCTGGCGCTACACACAGGAAGAATGCGCCAGGTCCAGACCATACACAGACGAAGAGGAGGGGATCAGACGAAGAAGAAGGGGGGAGTGGGAATGTCGTCAACACTAAGTCTTCGGTACAAGTCCCAGATAATCCCTCGTTAAATGTCTGAAGCCCAATGTCGAGTCTGGATCCAAATGTCACCAAGCCCGCTCTCTCGTAGTCTGCTGATGCAGTGAAGTCAGGTAGCGAGAGGGTGAGAGGGAGATGGTGGACTGAGAAGAGGAAGAAGAAGAACTCTCTCTCTCTCATGTGCCAGGTACTAACCTGTGAAGATGGCACTGTGCTGCAGGTACCTCGAAGACGAAGCTGGAGCTATGGC